GCGGAGGCAAGCTTAATTCCCCCCCCCCTGTCCATCAATTTCATTCCACATTTGGAGTTTACAGGGTTGGAGAAATTGGCATGTGCGTGCATGTATGTCATGTATGTATGCATGTATAAATGTATGTACGTGTGTTTGTTGTTTGTTCGTGTGTGTGTGTGTTGTGTATGTATGTGTGTGTGTGTGCTCGTGTGTGTGTGTGTGTGTGTGTTCGTGTGCCTCTACGCGTGCGCGATCGCCACGAGGTGTGCGTAAATTGATTGTGGCTTGTGTAGCTCAGGTGCTAGTATGTGATGGCTATCGCCGATCATCCCCCCCCACTCCTCGGTACGGATTTACGCCCCTGTCCATATTGAACCGTATTACTGAACAATATGAAACCGTTCCCATTTTGTTATACAATCATGCTCATAAAGGGCTAGTAAATGCTTTAGTAAATGTGTGGCAATAGTGTGCTACTATGTTTCATTGAAATTTCAAAATGGTAATCGCCATTTTTGGCGACAACGATATTAGAAATGAATACTGATAGCATGAGTGATAAATATAACATTCATCATCATCATGAAGCAAATCATCTTATTGATTGATCGTTAACCATATAGATGCAGCTGTCAACTATGTAGATGCAGCTGTCAACCATATAGATGCAGCTGTCAACTAGGTAGATGCCTCTGTCAACCATGTAGATGCAGCTGTCAACCATGTAGATGCCGCTGTCAACTATGTAGATGCAGCTGTCAACCATGATAGATTGCCTGGTCAACTATGTAGATGCCGCTGTCAAACTATGTAGATGCAGCTGTTCAACTAGTGTAGATGGCCTGCTGTCAACCATGTAGATGCAGCTGTCAACGATGTAGATGCAGCTGTCAACTATGTAGATGCAGCTGTCAACCATGTAGATGCAGCTGTCAAATACGTAGACTATGATGTGAGAATTATGATTTTTTTTTTATGAAACCTGGCCAGAAATTACATAAGGTTATGAACAATTATGGGAAATTGTAATACTTGGTGTCTTGGTGGTTAATTGTAAATAATTGAAATGGAAGATGGTAATTTTCTACGCTTACCTAGATGAATTTACATGAAATCAAAAGACCCACATTCTTTCCGTATAAAACCGGTAGAAGTCATGCCATTACCCATAAATGTCCTAGAGTCACCTTTATTCACTACAATCATAATCAAGATCTTAAGTAAGTCTATATAACATGATGCACTTTCTATTTTTAATGCTTATAGATTCTCTCCTGTCAGTACCTATTGCCTAGTGCTTACTCACAATGATCACTGGATTCTGAAATGTTCAACTCTGCTAAAGACTAGGAATGTTTACCAGTTTGGTTGGACGTTGTGCATGCGCCCAAACAGCTCTATCTTGCGCGTTCCTGGAGAAAGTCGCTCAATAATCCCGTAGATCTCATCCGGTTTGTGACTAGTGGCACGAACCTTGATAATAGATGCCAGAACATTCTACATGCAGCATTGCAGTTATATCTGCGGTACATTTCTGAGAAACAATGTGACTTTTCTGCAAGAATAATTAACATTTGATCAAATAAATACGTACTTGTGTTAAATAGACTCAGCAATAATATTAGCTATCGGCTAGAGGGCCGAGTCCTTTGTCCATTTATTATGATACTCACCTCAGCTACTATTACATCACAGTCAAGGCCTCTATTAGCACCTGCAGGATTACCCTTTATTCCAACCTATGCAAAATATATTATCTGATCGGCTTATCTTGATATTCCAACACGCTCATGGTGATTATAAGGGTAGGGGCCTACATTGTGCAAGTGGCAAACACTATAGAAGGAATCACTTATGTAAGCACAGTTGCATTTAGTGAAGTATCACGATTACGTCATGAGATGGAGAGATCATGCCTGCCTAAGAATTCACTTATCATCAGACAATTTCGTAGTTCAATATTAGGACATTATAGACAGGCATCTGAATTCCCTATAGAGTAAACGCAAATTCTCAATATTTTTAACACAAAACAAACAAGATTGCTGATTCACTAGTGAGCAACATTACTATACACATGTCATACTATAGCTCTGGGTATTGATCAGAATGTCTCGTGTGTGCTGCAGCCATAGGATTAGATAGCAACTAATGGTTTACTATCAGGGGCGAATCCAGAGGATTTGGGTGACCAGTTTCCATATGTTCGTCTGCAGCTAGGGGGGTCTGGGGGCATTACCCCGCGGTAGTTTTTTAAAAATTAGGCTCTATATGGTGCATTCTGGTGAAGTTTGAGGCCTGTGACCGGTTTCTGGAAACCGGTGCAAACCGGCCTAAATCCGCGCCTGACTATAATGTTATATGTATTTCAATATCATCATAAAACGAACGTATGTTGAAGCCATCACATATGTTGAAGCCAGAAAAATATATATTATATATTTTTCTGGCTTCAACATACTCTTAATACGTTCGTTTTATGAAGGTATTGAAATACATATAACATTAAAATAACATTGAAATTCGACCATCCATGGGGCCTTCAAATTACAATATTGCCTACTCAGAGACAGAGTCACAGGTATTTAAAATATAGCGCCCAAGTTTGAACTAGCAAGCTCTCTGCTGTCGTACAAATCTCAAGTATTGAAATATTATGGGTATCCTGTGTACTGCCTATATGGTACCCACAATGATTAAAGACATAATAAGCCCATTGATTATGCAATGTTGACGAATGCTAGAGTAACTGGCACCTTGTGTACCAATAAGTACATAACCTAATAGCCAAATGCATATTAGTTTGTCCAATATCACTGCTGGTTAAATTACAAACAAGACTTGAAATCGGTTGTTGATATGTAGCAACGTATCATTTACGTGCCGTAAATGTCATCCAGGAGTCAAGCAATGACGTAAACATTTGTGCGGCCTGTATGTTTTGGACGCCAGATGAAATGGAGGTGTCAGCGGTGTAACCATACCCAAGGACTAAACATATGGAAATGGAGTAAAACACGTACTAATCACGGACGCATGTGGACATCCCTGACAAAAAGTTCCTCATCACGAGCGTCCATGTTTACGAAATCACTGATGATAGCATTGCGTACGGCCGAGCATGCGTGTGAAAATGTCCGCACTATAAATCTGTATCACACCCGCTTCGCCGGCACCGGTTTGAAACTGTAAACAACTGAGTTTTGGACTGCGGATTTTAATTAGGCATTTCTTAGTAACCAGCAGTGACATTGGACAAACTAATACGCGTTTGGATGTAAGGTTATGTATTTGTTAACTACACAAGGTGCCAGTTACTCTAGCATTCCTCCACATTGCATAAGCAATGGGCTTATTATGATTTTAAGTGCGATGGAAATCCACTCGATTGTTGGCGGCACCACTACTATCCACCTATTTCATATCTTACGAAAACCTACCTGTCTACTCCAGCTACATCTTTCCCCAGTGAACATGTATGTTTAACTGCCAGAGATATTGGGCGAGCCCAGAGGGCTGCCCTTACTGGCAAGGAAGTTAACATTGTTAACAGGATGTTAATTTTCATTAAAAACATGTAAATTTAATTTTCATTTAAAGACAAACATTTTATCATAGCATACAATTTACAACATATATCTTTCTTTCTGAGTATCACGATTTGTATCGTATCGTGACACTAGTGTATTGTTACACTTCTACTTCCACGAGTGATCACCCAGCTCAGCCACTCACCAGACAGTGCTCCTTGCCATGGTTGATCCAGTGCCCTGTCCTTCCTGTCCGTATGATCCTCTGAAGCTGGTTTGTCTTCACCCAGATGATTTCGTCACATCTGTCATAGCCCCATAACTGCAGGCACTCCCTGCCCAGCTCCATCGCCCTGTAACATTCTCACACTGTCTGATGTGGTAACAATGTATTGTGTATGTGTGTGCAGTTCGAGGTAATTTCAAATTCATCAGGCCTGGAATTCATCTACACCTGCTTAAACCCTGCAGTTGGATAGTGTTGGATCCAATATTTTTTATCACTCTTTCGTTTAGTACATGTACTGTCAACTGTTTTTGATAAAGCACTAATATAATAGCTAATTCAGCTGGTTCTACACGACGTTGCAGTAGTCAAGAAATAATGTTCAATATACTTCCACACTGTTGTTCAATGTTAGATTGCGCTAATTTGCTATGACCACAACATTTAATCAAAATTGCATTTAATCAATTATTTATAATGAAATCGTTTCTATTCTTGAGAAATCTTTAGAGAAGTCTTTCAGTGAAATATGTTTCTTCACCACTCCACTCAAATGCGTCCGTGCTGCTAACTTTAGTTAACAAGTTTCGTAAGTTCATTGTCTATCCAAGCTGGATCTATTTAACACACAATATGTAGATATTCTAAGGAACAAGATCTGGCATTTCCACATATTTCAAGTAGATGTAATTTCCAGCACACCATTAGGCGAAAATCCGACATGATTGTGTGTATGCCGTCAGTGTTGATAATTAGCAACATTATTTAAAGGGATACTACACCCTAGAATTTTTGAGCATATTATGATAGCAAGTGTATAAATAATACTATATCCCTACAAATTTCTAAAATCATGCATTTACATTTACCATAAAACATTATAGTGTTTCGAAATATATTTTTGCCCGCTGACATGACACCCCACGATTTTGCTGCCACCCTGACAAAGTTGCGCTTTTCCGATCTATTTTACACGTTACAGACCGAGGGCTAATCATATAAGTTCTATTATATTTATACCTAGCTGCTATTTAACTAAACAATTTTATTATAGGACAAACTCATCTATATTATAACTGAATCTAAAAGTTGTTTATAAGATATTGCAATCCTTATCCTCTAAAATTAATAAATAAACACCCTCAGGCTGTAGCCTGCAGCCAAAAGGCTGCTAATAGTGGTGCCACCGTCGCTGGAAGCAACAATCCAGCCGTTAGTTTTAAAACATTTTTTACAAATATTTCTAATGACTATTGAATAATTAAATATTTTATGTAGCACCATTTATTTTAACTGAAAACATGCAAGCGACCTAGGATCATGTATCCATTTAAGCTATCCAGCAGGCTGTCCCTCATAGGCGGAAAGGGTTCTTGGCCAAACTGAAAGTGCCTAACAGCACGTAAATGCCAGATCTTGTCTGTTTATATGGTATGGCCCTTATGGGAACCATGTGTTATCCACTGACCTGCCTGTAACCCAGAGGAAGATAAAGCCCTCATCTTGCAGTGACTGTACATCCATGTGTCTCATCTCATCGTCAGACATTGTGCCGTATGGCAGCTCCATGTGTATGTCCCACGGAGGGTCGGCCATCACCACCGAGAACTTTCCAAGCACCGACATGTCGAGGCAGCGCACATCACACTGGATCCACTATCACACAGAGCAGAGCATCAGCGCTACATGCATGTAATGGCTCCCCAGTCAAGGCATACCTTTTAGGCTGAGAACCAGGGTAGCACATACCTTTTAAGCTTAGGACCAGGGTAGGACACACCCTTCAGGCTGACAAGGACCAGGGTAGGATACACCTTTTAGGCTGACAAGGACCAGTGTAAGACATAGCTTTTAGGCTGACAAGGACCAGGGTAGGACATAGCTTTCAGGCTGACAAGGACCAGGGTAAGACATACCATTTAGGCTGAGAACCAGGGTAGCACATACCTTTCAAGCTTAGGACCAGGGTAGGACACACCCTTAAAGCTGACAAGGACCAGGGTAGGATACACCTTTTAGGCTGACAAGGACCAGGATAAGACATAGCTTTTAGGCTGACAGGGTAGGATACACCTTTTAGGCTGACAAGGACCAGGATAAGACATAGCTTTTAGGCTGACAAGAACCAGGGTAGCACATAGCTTTCAGGCTGACAAGGACCAGGGTAAGACATACAATTTAGGCTGACAAGGACCAGAGTAGGACATACTTTTTAGGCTGAGAACCAGGGTAGCACATACCTTTTAAGCTTAGGACCAGGGTAGGACACACCTTTCAGGCTGACAAGGACCAGTGTAAGGCATACCTTTCAGGCTGACAAGGACCAGGGCAGGGTGTACCTTTCAGTCTGACAAGGACCAGAGTAGGACATACCTTTCAGGCTGGCAAGGACCAGGGTAGGACATACTTTCAGGCTGATAAGGACCAGGGCAGGGTGTACCTTTCAGGCTGACAAGGACCAGAGTACGGCATACCTTTCAGGTTGACAAGCACCAGGGCAAGGTGTACCTTTCAGGTTGGCAAAGACCAAGGTAGGGCACAACTTTCAGGCCACGGAGGGCAGGATAGAGCATACCCTTTGGGCTGATGTAGGATGCTGGTAGAGCATACATTGGCAGATGTAGGACCCAGACAATACATATGTTACAGGCTGAGGAAGACTTGTTACTACAGGGTACAGTAGAGTAAAGCATTGAGATGGTGAGTGCTGCCTCCAATGTACCGATATAGGATGACACTGTTGCTCTGCCTTAATTATTACATATAAGGTTTATTGAATTAATTGCTTTATTTCTGCTCACTACCTTGCATATGTCACGTTTCAGAACGTCTACTCTACACTACCTTGCATATGTTACGTTTCAGAATGGCTACTTTTCACCATGCTTACATATCACAGATGTGCTATGTTGGCATTATCAGGAACGTACGCTTTAAACTGGAATAAACGGATAAAACACAGACTAAACACGTAAATGGTACAAAATGCAGAGAGAGCCACAGACTATTGTGGGCCAAATTACCAGCTAATTACAGTCTGTTGCAAAATACACGGACTGCCACAGACTAACCACAGACTGCTAACGGACTGCCTATTAACAATTATCTAATCTCGAGAGTCCGTGATTATTATGTTCATAGTATGTGGATTTCTCTGCTAGCGTGGCACCCACACGCCAGCAGCTCGTTGCCTCGCTCAACACTGGTAGACAATTGGTTCCAGATGCCGTGTGCCTGTGTCCAGGCGTGCGTTCTGGGATAAGATTAGACAGGTCCATCGTGTCAGCAAATAAAACGATGGTAAATATCTAGAGCATCAGCACCGGTTAACATTTAGCTGCTTCAAAAGCTCCTGATGTTGGTGTGCGGCTGCCACACTGGTGGGAAAATCTATGTACTATCAGGGGTTAATAATGACAAATTTGTCGTTATTAACCCCTGGTACTATGAACGTAATAATCAAGAACGTTCGAGATTAGATAATTGTTAATAGGCAGTCTGTGCTTAGTCCATGGGAGTCCGTGTATTTTGCAACGGACTGTAATTAGCTGCTAATTTGGTCCATAATAGTCCATGACTCTCTGTGCGTTTTGCACTATTTAAAGGCATACTAGGCCCATTGATTATGCAATGTTGACGAATGCTAGAGTAACTGGCACCTTGTGTAGTTAATAAGTACATAACCTTATAGCCAAACGCATATTAGTTTGTCCAATACCGCTGCTGGTTACATTACAAGCAAGACTTGAAATCGGTTGTTGATATTTATTTACGTGCCGTAAATGTCATTCAGGCGTCAAGCGATGACGGAAACATTTGTGCGGCCCGTATGTTTTCGACGCCAGATGAAATGGAGGTGTCAGCGGTGTAACCACGGCCACGGACTAAACATATGGAAATGGAATAAAACACATGTACTAATCACTGACGCACATGGACAGCCCTGACAAAAAGTTCCTTATCACGAGCGTCCGTGTTTACGAAATCACTGATGATAGTGTGACGGTGGCATAGTTTCGGACTAGTGTCGGAAGGTGGCGCGGTGTTGCCGCATGCGCAAGGCCCGCGCCCTCTCTCGTTCTCTTGCTTGGCAGACATTGGTGTGAGCAGACGTGAGTTAGCCGGCGTCTCCGAATAAAGTCGTTCATTACCAAATTCCTGTGTTTATCGATTCATTGTGAGTGCTCCCATGAAGGCATAATAGTCAGCTTTCACAGTGGCGCCCAACATGTGGCAGTTTTGATTTCCAAACAAATGAATTCTGCCCGAATCAAAATTGGAGGAGCACTCGATCTCACACAGGTGATTTCTTGGAGGCCGCTCCAGAACCACGTGTGACGAGGAGTGGACGCGATGTCAATGCTCCCGCCTACTTGGACGATTATGTCCGACCCGTGAAGCTGTACAGCGACGCGACCCGCACATCGTGGTGATGCCGCAGGAGACTACCCATGCGTCGTGGCGATGGCAGATTACCGCACACCAAAGCGATGGCGGATGTCCCGACGGAGGACGACACTTAGGCTCGAGGCTTACTAGACGCCACGAGCACCCGATTGCGTAAATAAGGCGTTGGTGTTTGACGCATTTCATGATTTTGTATAACATGGCAGGGTAGCTGCTTTCTTTTGTAACGTTTACCGCTGGGCAGTTGCCCCTTGTTTTTAGCGGATCGTGTAATTTTGTGTTCCGTATTTTGTATTCCGTGGACAGTGGCAGGGTAGCTGCCTCCTGTTGTAATGTTACCGCTGGGCGGTTGCCCCTTGTTTTTAGCGGATTTGCATATGTCGATGTGGGGCACATCTCCTCAAAAGAGGGGCGTATGTGACGGTGGCATAGTTTCGGACTAGTGTCGGAAGATGGCGCGGTGTTGCCGCATGCGCGAGGCCCGAGCCCTCTCTCGCTCTCTTGCTTGGCAGACATTGGTGTGAGCAGACGTGAGTTAGCCGGCGTCTCCGAATAAAGCCGTTCATTACAAAATTCCTGTGTTTATCGATTCATTGTGAGTGCTCCCATGAAGGTATAATAGTCAGCTTTCACAATAGCATTGCGTACGGCCGAGCATGCGTGTGAAAATGTCCGGTGCACTATAAATCTGTATCACACCCGCTTCGCAGGCAGCGATTTGAAACTGTAAACAACTGATTTCTTGGACTGCGGATTTCAATTAGACATTTCTTAGTAACCAGCAGTGATATTGGACAAACTAATACGCGTTTGGATGTAAGGTTATGTACTTATTAACTACACAAGGTGCCAGTTACTCTACGATTCGTCAACATTGCATAATCAATGAGCCTAGTATGCCTTTAAGCGTTTAGTGCGTGTTTTATCCGGTTATTCCAGTTCATAGTGGTATGTCTATTGAATGCATATGTTAGGTTCATGGTTGTCTATTATGTGTAATTAATAATTTATGGATTGGGGGAGCCGTGGTCAGAAACATCGTAAGGTTAAGGCTAATGTTAATGCTAAGATAGCACCTATGACTAATGTTAATGTTTCGAGAATAGTGTTGCCAATGACAGAAACGCATCGCAGCTATGAGAAAAATTACGATAACAAGAACTTCATAATTTTATGTGACAATTAAGGCTGCTGATTGGATGAGAATTCATACACATTTATTATACATAACAGTTATTTAAGCATATTATGATGGTTCTTCTTCTTCTTCTTGAGTCATCCAATGCCATGCGGCGTTGGTGAAGTATTCACAAAGTTCGAACTCCATAGTCCTCGATCAACCATTACGGCGTAAAGGTCAGCTCCTGTGAGGCCGGTGTCCCTCTCGATAACTGATTTCAGGGTGACGTATGGCCGGCCGACCCCTCTCCTTGTATCCGGAGTCCAGAGCAGCAATCTTCCAGCAGGTTCATTGTGGCGAATGACGTGCCCAGCAAGGACCAGACGACGATGCCTCACTACGTCAGATATACGAGGCAGTCAGCCGTATAGTGACTTGTTTGTTAGATGGTGTCTCCAGGAGATGTTGTAGGCTGCACAAAGCATTCTTGTGTAAGTGCCGTCAAGTCTCTTTTGGCGGGTGACATTCAATGTCCACGATTCCGAGCCATAAAGAAGAATAGTTTCAATGCAAGCCTGAAATACTTTCGTTTTTGTAGCTTTCTGAATGGGTGCTTTCCACAACTCCTGCAATGAGTGGAGTGCACTCCATGACTGCGCTATTCTCATACTCATGCCGTGACTAGAGTCAGTGTAGCCACCCAGATACTTGAAGTCGCCCACAAGTTCGATGTCTGATCCATCCTGACATGTGCAGGCAATCTTCTGTAGATGGATTAAGGTGCATGTATATCGTCTTAGGTGCATTTAGAAACAGGCCGACATCCTGGTAGGCCTTCTCAACTCTGATGAGAAGATCTTGTGCAGCTTCGATTGAATTTTCGAGAAGTGCTATATCATCAGCATAGTGGAGGTCAGCTAAGACTTCGGCATGGTGGCGCCGGCTGCGACGTTGTTTCAGTTTAAGACCGTCGGATTCTGTGATCGATGTGCGCAATGCATAATCCAGGCAGATGATAAATAAAAATGGAAATGTAAGAACGCATGTGTCGATGTTGAAAGCATCAGTCTCACCCTCTGGAGTGATTACTACAGCAGAGGTATTCTCGTACATGACTCGGATCGCTACAACTACGTCAGGAGGGATACCGTACGCTTCAAGGATTTCAAACATTTTCTTTCGGTTGATGGAGTCGAATGCCTTTCGGAAGTCGATGAACGTTACTATGGCTTCCATGTCATGATTCTTCAGTTCTTCTACGATACGTCGAAGAGCGAGTATATGGGATATGGCGGAACGACCTTGACGAAAACCATTCTGATTCAGACGCAGTACCTCGTCAATAACTGGACGGATTCTGTTGAGTAGACAGCGGTTGTAAACTTGTATGGATGCAACTTGTGAAAGAGAAATACCTCTGTAATTGTCTGTTTTTGTTAGGTCGCCTTTCTTTGGAATTGGTATTAGGCCAGAGATTCCCCACTCTTTGGGGCATCTCTCGTGATAGGTCTCATTACAGAACTTTAATATGCTCTTCCGCACCTTTTTCAGTTTCCAAAGGTAGACCATCAAGGCCAGGCGCCTTTCCATTCTTTAACTGTCGAATGGCAATATCTACTTCTGCCTGTGTTAGCGCACCACTCTTTATCACAGTGAAGAGATCAAAGATTTTCACAACTGATTCGCCGAGTTTGTGTAGCTGGGTCAGCATTCAATATGTTTTTGAAATAATTCTCCCAAGCCGTGAGTCGGTCTTCACCCTTGATGAATATCGTGCTGCAAGATTTCTTCCCAGAGAGTTTCTTGACAAGGTCCCAAGCAGTCTTGATGACAGATGCTGCTTCTGGGGTCTCAAATGAGCAAAGTATTTCATTGATGCGTTTGTCTTCATAACAATCGAATGCTTTGTGAAGGTTAATCTGGGCCAAATGGACACTCTGTGTCGATGCACGAAGAGTAGACTTGCGTGCGGAAACGACTGGTTCTGCGTCAATCGTTTTTGCAGGAGGCCGAGGTCTTGGAGGCAATAGTTCTGCACCGGTTTTGGTTGCAATATTAACGAACGACGAGTAGTTCTGATCAGCTGCAGGTAGATTTTCAAAACGTGATAAGATGATATCACCAATTTTAGTGGCTAGGGCTGGATCAAATGTGAGTGATTGCCAGAACAGTTTCTTGGTGACCGGGGTCTTTGGGGTCTTTGAGCGCCGCAGACTAAGTTTGATTTTTGCTGTTACGATGCGATGATCGCTTCCAATCGGGTTTGATGTTGAGAAAGCCTAGCAATCACTGATACTATTACGCCATCTTTTTTGATACATACAGAAGTCGATTTGGGATAATGCACCCGTGGGCGACCTGAATGTCCATAATTTATTCAACGATTTCTGGAAAGAGACATTCCCGATGACAAGATTGTGTTGTTCAATGAAGTCTAGGAGAAGAAGGCCATTGCGATTTGATGTATCATGCAATGAGAAACCTTTTGAGATTTGAGCGTTCATGTCGCCTCCAATGATGACCATTGAGTGTAGCGGAATGTCTTCAACTGCGTTGCTTAGTTTTGAATAGAAGTTATTAACGACATCATCTGGCAAGCTGTTGTGCGGTGAGTAACAGGCAAGTATTACTGTTTTGGGATTCCCCCTAAACGTGGCAGAGACGATACGCTCATCTAACTTCTTAACTGAGAGAAGCAAAGGTAGCAGCTTCGAATCTATAGATATGCCCACCCCACGAATGGAGGCACCACAGTCATTTCGAACGGCAGATGCAGTGAAGAGAGTTACCCGGCCAAGATCGCGAGCAACTATTTCCGGATCGGAGTCAGAATGTAGAAAACGATGTTCTTGGATGTAGGTTACAGATATAGAATAGTCATTCATGAGTTTGTTGAGCTCAGCTTGAGAAGATGTGGAGCGTAGAGTTCTACAGTTGAGTGTAGCCACTTTATAAGACTGGCTAGGTCTGGAGAGGCCAATCTTCTGTCGTTGACGATCAGAGCTCAGCCGCTCCGGAGAGTTTAGGTCTGGCTCGTCATTAGCTGCAGGAACAGCGTTACTAGACCGCGTGATTGGCCGATTAACAAGGGCTTTAACCTTGGTGCTGTAATTGAACTTCATCATGCTTTTGTCTATTGGCTGAGTACGTATGCGGCTCGCTGCGCCTGCATACGTTTACGATTCTCCGCTAACTGGAGCAATGCACCTTGGCGTTGTCATAAATTATGATCCTCCGCGAAGCTGCGCTGTTCGCTTTGCTGAAACATCCGTCTGTCGATGATCGCCACAGGAACTACAACTACCCGTAAAGATAAAGGGATTTTTTATCGAGGTTAAACTCCTCTAGATCCGCCGTGTTCTGTCTATTGCCAAGCAATATTACCAGTGTCACCACGAGGAGGATGTTGCTATTTAGACCATATATACGATGGTTATAACCACATATAAATAATATCTGATGGAAAAACGACAGTCATGAATTTATTCTGCACTGCAAGAATGATTCTGCACGGTAACACAAGACGCAAGCATCATGACTCATCAAAATATCCAAAACATGAGAACAAACGCCACTTGTATACGTTAGTTTTGGCACATGATCGGTATAGCCAAGTAGTGTTTCTGATGTGTTTTAGTAATATAAAATATAATATTACTGTAATTGCAATTATTGGTGTAATTGTTATTTTCATCTTGGTCATAAAATTACGAGAGGGTCTAGGATCTCGTAATGTCAAGAAGATATTTGCGAGGATTTTTCGTTCTCGTAACTTTACGATGTTTCTGTCAAAGGTTTACGAGCTGAAGTCAATGTTAAGACTAATGTTACAACTAATTTTGTTTCTGACAACGACCCCCAGTTCTGTAAGCCATAAGCACAGTTATCAAGCTATGCAATATTTATAGGGGTTTAACCACCTAGTCTTTAATCGGTGTTCAATACCTGTGGTGGTGTCAATTGGGCATCTCCGAAAAGTTGCTTAGATAATGCTGATGTGGGTACAATTCTCTTGTCTTGCCTCTCTGCATTCTGGCCACTGTAATCCACTTCATAATGTACATACTGCAAAAGAATTCTCCTTATTGAAATGGCATACAATGGTCAACATTGAATAAAAATGTGGGCGGTGACTATAGTTTTTCATTGGTGGATGGAAAAGAACCTTGGTGGATCTAGATTTTGGATTTAGAATGTTCATTTCTCATGCAAATAAACTGAGAAATTAATAAATATAGACAAATTTAGACTCAGTGTACATATAACTGAATACTTCAGCATAAAAATTATTACTAGTTTCTGCTGTTATAGGCTATAAAACAGTAAAGGAACGGCAAACGTGCACCTGTTATCTTGAAATTTTCGATAATGGAATTTTCAAATGCTTACACAAAACGTGCATGTAATTGCGTGATACAAATATTTGTAGACTGGTACCAATCTCGAGATGTATACAAATGTAATTAACCAAATGTAATTAACAAATGTAAACAAGTGTAGAGACAGGGTTCCGGTCTCCCGACAGCGAAAATCACACGCTAGTTTTGTTGACATATGTAAACAAATCGTATTTGAAATACAGATCAGTGCACATATTGGTGGCAAGAACAATGTGGGAGTGTTCAATGACATGTTAGCCTTACTATATACATTTGCCATTACACCAGGAGTACCAGTAGGCCTAAGTATCAGAATAGTCAAGAAAATATGAAAACGGTTGGTAAAACAACTAGTAACCATCACTTTAAAATACAAAGTGGAAGCCTTGCTCGAGTAGCAACAGCAGATAATACTCAACACCTGGTTAACTCATAACACTACGAACCAAGCCAATTCTTATCACTGATCACACATATCTATACTTTACCTTGCATGAGTCCATGTGAAAACATGTGTTCAGAAACGAACAATCACCGAGAGATTCTACAAACAGAGCAGGTTTGTGAGAGTCAATATTATGCAATACTTAAATTATCATGATCCCACACATGAAAACCATATCAATTAACACTAACAGATCTCATAACATTGCAGACATTTTAAATGAGTGCAAAACTACTGTTCAAAATGTGTAACAGAAATATCTTAAGTTAGTATAGTCATTTTCCCTTATTGCTTTCTTTCTTATATTTACATAGTAACAATGAGGCCACAATTAAAAAAATCTTTGTTTGCCCTCACCCGACCCAGGCTGAAATGATTGGGTAGGTAGGTAGGCTTTTTTTGAGGGGGGTCTTTTTACAAATTCAGCATGGTGTCTACATGCTCGGGTGTGCTTGTGTGGAGATACCTTTATGTTGAATGATTGCTTTGCTTGGATTTATATATATATTAGATATATACAGATTTATATAATGTACAGTGATACAATTTGTGAAAAAAAGGGAAAGATCAATATAATCTTTTGAGTCAGCCCCTTTTTGGCGGGTCGGTCGGGTGAGGGCAAACAAACAATATTTTTATTATGGCCTGACCGTCTGTATGTTTGTGAATGATTTTGCAAAAGTGGAGTTTATTGCAAGGTTTGCTTGTCTTGTTCTCCTTCATGCACTCCTGTTTGGTTCCATGCTGACAAAACTCCTGTACTTGGGCACCTAGATAGAGCAGAATAGCATCATATTCGTGCAAAGATTAACAAAAGTCAGGAGGCCTAGATTACTAGGGCTCAATCACCAATGTTTCAGTCAAGGACACATGAATACAAACAAACACTCCTGTAAAACGGTGAGCTTTTCAATAAATTTCCAGGTTAAGAACATGATGAAAACTCACCTCCAGCAGATCTAAACTGCTCTTGAAGTGATTTCTCTTTAGCCGTTGGTTTGCTGAGTAGATCTAAGATCTCGTCCCCCATCTTTCTTGTCTCCTTCTCCATAGCAGAGCGCATTGATAGCAAACTCTAGAGAAGCCACATTTACATACTCTACATAAGCAGGTGCAGTTCTTAGAGCAGATAAGTGATTTATTTGTGTCTTGACTCATGGCATTATTTTAAGGTAACATTTAGACACTTTAGGACGCCTCGGTGTAACGTTCAAATCAATTCCCAGTCATACGGACAAGTGGCCTGTTCAAGCAGGTGCTGCCACCTGGGCTTGTAACAAGATGGCGTTTTAGACGGTAGTGGCTGACAGGCTAGAAGGCAGTTTAATTGCCACAGATTACCCTTACCCCAGTTAGTACATTCAACGATCACTTATATTTTGGACTTATACAACGGTAAGCTTTTCCTAATAGGATGCTAGCATAAAGTTTGTTTTGGTTAACGTTAAACTCTTAAAATATGCAATGTTGTTATCGATGTCATGTTAACACATGGTAGCCAAAAGTGAAACTACCTGATTGTATATTATTGTTAATTTCTGTATGCTCAGTGGCGCTGTTTTATTTCTTTACAGTCAATCTTTTTGTCAGCAAATAAAAGATTTTACCAGTCCCATGAAGTTTGTTTTGTCGTTATAGTCAAAGCTAACACTCGGCATACCTCAAGAATATCTTCTGGGGCGTCCTTTCCTTTGCCAGAAACCTTTTCTGATTTTTCTGTTACAGATTCCTTTGAGTTAACTACATTTGCCTCGCTGTAAGTACCAATTGATATATCAACAACATGAATCAGATTCTGTGTACCACAACAAGACAGGTCCATGTACTCCTTGTCTACATGAGCAAATTCATACTAATGTGATTGATTTTATGCAACTGAAAACAACATCGTTGGCTCGTATGTTCACTTAACTGAGCTTTTTCTTTGTATTTTTCTGCTGGTCACTCACCAATCTTTCTTCATTCGTTTCTCAGCCGGTTCCTCGATATCAGGTTCCTTAGGTTTACTATCAGTATCCACCATAGCCTCTAGCTAAAATATGGAACGTTACTTTTAAAATATGCAAATTGCACAACCACACATGAGCGCTTCTTTTGCATACGTTGATAATTGTGAAAAAAACATTTATGAAAATGGAATAGAAATACATTAGATTTAGACATCACCTTGGAATGTTCTGCTGTAGTCACAACAAGTTGGTCCATAGTCATGTCATTACTTTGTTCTTTCAAACTAAAATAGAGGCTAATCTTTATTCATTTAATACTTTCGATTTTGGCACATTGCTATAGGCATTATACCTTAACACCAGAAGGCCTCCATGCAAATAACCAATAGCAACTGCTTAAATTGAGTTTTCGGTTTTAATCATAACTTTTTTCATCATCCCTAACCCTAACCCTAACCCTAACCCTACTGTGATTACCTTATTACTCCCTGAGCTGCGAATTTTTTTAAAAGATTTTCTACGGTATCCTTCGTGACATCACTACACATAGCCTTGCTGGCTATACTAGCTAACTGAACAGAGTCAATAGGTAGACTTATTCCAACATCACATAATGCCTTCAACAAATGTGTCTCGACTCCTTCTTTTGAATCCAGAGATAGGGTGGACGCAATATCCTACAATGAAAGAAAAGCATAAGAAAGTTATTATACAAACAAGAGCCGCAGAGCGTCTGGGCTCATCTGAGGTCTGTTGCTACGGTTATAAACGTAACATTTAAGTCGTGCATAGTGACACCTTTGTTAGGCGCAGATATGCAGATACGCAGTTGCGTACACATCATTTCAGCAACCTTCTGCATTCTGCATACCTCCCAAATCCAATTGGTTGATACAGATCGCGTGCCTGAAACTCCTGTTTTATGGTGCATTGTGACCCTAACCCTAACCTTAATAAAAAAAAAAAATTAATTGTACAAATTATTTGTTGTTATGAAATTGTTGTCAATAAATCATGTAAATATTTGCCTTAATTGGAAAGAAATAGTTAAATGGATAAAAAATAGAAAAATACAGAAAACAGGTAAATAATAAAAAATCTGATGGGATTCGATCCAACGACATTTGAGCCGTAATCCTGTGCTGTAGCCGTTGGGCTATCCAGACATTGGCTTTCCAGATTATGGATGTGCCATGAATATGAGAACACTGTGACATCATTGAGGCAGTTCAGGAATCCATGTTTAACCCTCCTCTTGAGAGTCAAAAGGCTATCAGACACTTACTCTTCGCACGTCAGTGGAAAGCACATTTCATGGTCCTTTTAATAAAGTGATAAAAATGGTAGGGCAGCGCTGAAACAAAAAAGTTTTTCACTCTGTCCGTTAGCCTATGTCCTCAGAAAATGTCGGATATCTGACCTTTCCCCCACTGCCCTTTGACCTGTGACCTCCAATTTCGCACTGGTGATGGGTTTCCTGCCCATCACACTATACACCGAATATTAAGAGCATATGTCGAGCCGTTAAGATTTGTGCCGCAAATCCGTATTTCCTCCTATACCTTAAGTTAAGGGGGAAATATTCCCCATCCGTTTACACCTCTTGACCTTTGACCCTTGACCCCCAAATTTGTCATCCTGAATCCTTTTCACGATCCCCCCCCCCGACGTCCCTAATATCGTGACTGTACGTCGAGCGGTTAAGATTTGTGCCCAACTGTTGACAGACGGACGCACGCACTCACGCACGGACAATCACATGCGATTCTACAAGCTGCATCTGACTACGTCAGATGAGCTAACAACAAATGCGTAGTGTGTTACATCGTGCCTACCTAAGAAACTATGCCACTTTCATATTCTACCTTTGCTGTATTTTCTGCAGAAATAGAAGTGCTTTCATTGTAGAGTAATAAAGTTGGTAAACACACTAACGGTACACCAGCAGTCACACTAATGGTTGTCCTATTGCCCCGGACAAATGAAAGTCTATGTCGGACAAGTTATTATCTTGGCTAGTTGCGAGAGGGCAACTGCAAAATTCTAGTTGTTTAATATTCCTAACATTCTTTGAGCCAGGATACGATCGCACGATATTCTCACGTTTTATTTCCAAAGGTCGCCAACAAAAAGCAGCCCAAGACACCCGTGTCACCTACTAAAAGTACTTTTACCATTATAGATTTAGTAATCGAGTCTGTGTACGTGCCTGGCTGCGGCGGCATTGATTGATGTACGGTGTGTGTGTGGGGGGGGGGGTGCACGATTGTTTAAGTCAGGTGGCGCATGTTCATTACTAAATATGTAGGGGGTGGGCACCGCTGGGATAAGAGAGCGACAGCAAAACTCTTTCCTGGAATTGTGGAAAAAGCTGCAATCGGGAATGACATACAATGAGCATGCCAGATAATTTGGCAGCGTGTCAGAGACTGCTATGACTAACGGATGTCAGCCAATCACATTATTCCTGCTATATCAACGCTTCTCGGTGAAAATGTCTAAGAACACAGAATTGTCCACGTTTTTTCAAGTGCCTATGCGGAAAAATGCCCAATGGTGGCCAAAAGTTTACCTTAACGGCTCATAAACTGCAAGTAAGTTTTGGACAGGTAAAATCAAAATTCGGACAAGTAAAAATTTATTCTTGTTGCCCGACAGGACAACCAGATCTTAAAATAAGCGTCGAGGCCTGTACACATGCATATATGCACAGATTAAAGAGAAATTATGGTTATCGTTTCTTGTGCCCAACAGTGTATACCGGATCCTATAAACAGTGTCTTGTGGCACGAGGGCGGAATACTCACTGCAATTTGTGTGTCGGTGTGATTTTATATATAGCCCACTATGTTATTCTAACATTAAATCCCAGACACCTCTGTGGGAAATTAAGTTTGTCAGATGTCAACAAGTGGCATAGTTTATTAGGTAAGTTGTGTGCAGGATCTAACACACCACCCCAATAAATTATTGTACTTTCAAAAACACAAAGAGTGTGTCAGGTTAGTTAGGCTGAGAGGGTCTATGTCCCCCGGGGTACTGCCGGAACGTACCCTGGGGGACATAGACCCTATGAGCGTTAGTTAGGTGCATTATGCTTTATTAGTATGGTTACCCTTTTCTGCTGCACAGCACTCTCTGCATGTCGCAACACTTGTCTTGCCTCAGAAGAACCATCACTTGGGATGTCTGTCAGACCAGTACCACTTCCAGCCGATGAAAGGTCAAGATCTGCGAAGAGGTTTTGCACACAGGAAAGTTGGTGAAACATTCGCCTGACTATTCAAACTAAAAGTAAAACTTTGGAAATATTATAATTATTAAAGGGACAGTAGCCTCTAGGATTTTACTGCATACAACTGTACTTACTGTATAACAAATCGTCTATACCCACACGTATTTGTTACCAGATACCTAAATTTAATTGTTATAAATTATTTACACATCAACGCTACGAACATTTGAACGGCGCCATGACACCCGCGACCATGCGTGCACCCTGAAAAAGTTGGGCATTTCCCAATGTATATTTCCACAGATACAGACTGAGGTAATGCCAAAAGGTGCCAATTATATTTATGTACCTAAAGTTGTATTTAACCGAACGATGATTCATTGTTACAGGACAAAATCTTAATCCATTAATAGTAGACTGAAACTATATGTCGTTTATAGTAGATATTACAATCGCTTTTGCCCTTTAAATTAATAATAAGAAACCCTCGGTCTGATAGTAGCCTTGGCGAAAGTCCCGTTTTGCGCCAACTTTTCAATA